TTGTATATGTATTGTGCCCAGGGCCTGGTGGAGAAGGTTTGTTTTCATGGTTGCTTAAGGCATTTGTGGGTCCCATGCATTGGAGATTCTAATAACTGGCTTCTAATCTCTAGATTCTTGCTGGGGTACACTGGGCAGGTTGGATCTGCCTGATTTGTGTCAGAGGTACCTGTTAGACTTTGAGAGTGGGGCAGGCAAGTGACTGGCTATCCATTAGCCCCTTCTCCTAAAACCCAATTTACATGATAATACTTTGAGTTGTTTTATTCTTGCCTTATAGGATTGTTAATTCCTGTTATCATTCTGTGGTATATTGTGCTTAGTAAACTGCTAATGTGATACTTCGACATCATAAATCTGAAGATTTAGGGAAAACATTAGATATAGATTTACAGATTAGTTGGCCACTGCCCCTAATTCCTGAAATAAATGACTAATATTTAGTATTCCTGGGCTGTTCATTGTCTTATAGAACAAAAGATGAACCTGAAAGCTTCATTTAGACCAAGAAACAGTTTGATTTTATAGAACTAGGACTATAATCTTTAAAGAGAACAATCTCAGTTTAATTTTTATGAAATCATTTCCCTGAAAAAAATCGACTGAAGAAAAAGAGGGAACAAAAGTTATTGTCTAATTGGGGCAGACCCAGAAAACTGCTGGAAGTTGAGGAGCCAAACACGCGGCTGCTTTCACAAGTTAAGATTTCTCTTCTGACTATCTCGTTATCTATTGTTATTGTACTGAGTCTATAAATAGTATTTATAAGGGAAACAGACCAGAAAACCATTCAAGTATAAAACGGCATCATTAAGTTTGGAGGTGGAAATACAACAGCAAACTGAGAACTTGAGTTTCCGTGTGTGTGTGAGTGAGTCACTCAGTGATGTCTGACTCCTTGTGACCCCATGGACTAGAGCTCGCCAGGCTCCTATCTCCATGGGATTCTCCAGGCAAGAATCGAATCCAGGTCTTCTGCACTGAGGGCAGATTCTTGTAAGCAAAATCTGATTTAAGACAACTCCACAATTTTTGAGTAGTAGTTACCTTGGGGAAGTCTTTGGACTTCTGAGTTCATCATTCTGAAATATACCCCGGGACTACTAGGGCATGCTACATGGGGTGGTGAACGTTTTCTGGGTTGACCAGTTGGGAGTTTCTGGTGTACCCCTGGTGGCTCAGATGGTGAAGAGTCTTCCTGCGATGCAGGAGACTTGGATTCCGTCCCCGGGTTGGGAAAATCTCCTGGAGGACAGCATGGCGATCCACTCCAGTTTCCTTGCTGGGGAATCCTGTGGACAGAGAGCCTGGTGGTTACAGCCCATGGGGTTCATAGAGTTGGACACGACTGAGTGACTAATACACACACAGTGCTCCCCTGCCAGTCTGACATTAAGTTATTGTCTCATGTGTTTCAAAAATACCTGCTGATAGGCTTCGGTGTGCTAGATATTTATTTAACCCTTTGAGAAAATTAATAATACATGATCTGTGCCCTCCTGTGGTGTTGGCTAGCAGGGAAGTAAAGCATTTTTATTTGCAATTTTGTTTGAGAAGTTACAGATTTATTTTCAGCTTAACGAAAACAAGCAATCTCCATTTCTACCAGTCCCTGCCACTAATTCCGCAGAAGGTCTATTGCAGGAGAATGGGGTGCTAGAAGATGGTCATGCCCAGGTCTCGGGCAGGTCCCTGAGACAGGCTGTCCAGTGAGGGTCCTTGGCTTCCATCAGGAAAAATTTCAAGAGCAAGCCTTAGTTAAGTGAAAGCACACTTACTTTGAGAGATACACACTCCACAGGTGGAATGTGGTCTGTTTCAGAAGGCAAGATTGACCCAAAATGTGGAGTGGTTAGTTTTATAAGGCTGGGTAATTTCGTAGGCTAACAAGGGGCAGGATTATTCTAACTGTTTTGGGGAGGGTGTGGAGATTTCCAGGAATTGGGCCACTGCTCGCTTTTTGGCCTTTTATTTTGGGGACAGAGGGCATGGGGATTTCCGGGAATTGGGCCGCTGCTTGCTTTTTGGCTTCAGAACTGTCATGGTACCTGTGGGTGTGTCACTTAGCATGCTAATTCATTACAATGAGTGTATAATAAGGCTCAAGGTCCCCTGAAAGCTAAATCTTCCACCATCTTGGAGTTAGTTGGTTTTAACCAGTTTTTGTTGTATCCTGTTCTTAATGACTCTGTCAGTGTTTATATTTCAGTGACTTTGTACATATTACTCACAACTCTGTTATTTCAGCTATTTTGATCATGTTAGCTGTATCACTTTGCTTTCCCAGGAGTCAATACAGTTGTTCCTTGGTATTTGGAGGGCATTGGTTCTGGAACCCCCGGATTCCAGACTGCTTGACTGTTCCAGTCCTTTATGTAAAATCCTGTAGTATTTGCATATAACCTGTGCATACCATCCCACACTATATGAAATCATCTCTATGTTCCTTATACTGCCTAATACAGTGTAAATGCTATGTAAATATTTGCTAGCATGTAGCAAATTCAAGCTTTGGAACTTTTTGGAATGTTTCCCCCCTCAATATTTTTGATCTTTGACTATAATTGCCTTTGAGTTTTCTTAAAAAAAAAAAAATGTAAATTTCTTCTCATTGCATTTAGATGTGTCAGGATATTGATCAGTTCTTTGTTTTCTTTCTCTGGAGATCTTTCCTGGAGCTTCTAACCTGTTGCTCCAGTGTAGACAAGAGCCTCTGGAAGTTTGGCACAACTGTTGTTCTGGAATAACTTTGTATTGTCCTGAGAATTTATTTGCTTCTTTGATTTGCTAGAATTCCTATCCTTTGCTCTTGTTTTGTTCCCATGTTTCAGTAGAGTGTGTTAACCCAATAGCTTTTGATAAAAAGAAGCATATGAGGGTAAGGTTCTTTGTTTTTGTATGTTTCTGATACTTATTAAAAAGTTTGGGAGACACTGAGTTAAAAATCTGGGGTTAAAAGTGCTTCATTTCAGACTTTGAGCTACTCTTTATAATCTCCTCTTGTCCTCTCACCTCAGGAGTATCTGCTGCCTCCGGTGTCTCTTGGCTTCTTTCTGTGTAGGCATAATAACATTACCTTTCACCATCCAAACTTTTATTGGGCTTGTTTTTCCAGATTCTTCGACAGATCTTCAGTTGGCAGTAGATAGTTGCCAGATGGTGTTTGGATACCTTTTGTTTGTTTGTTTTTTACTAAAGTTACAAAAATATAATATGTTATTGCACACTCCAGTTAAAATCATCTATTTGTATTAATAAAATGTTTTTCTGTTTAGCTTATTGTTGTCAAAACTGGGTTGTATTGTATTATAGTATTTAAAGGTATTTTTGCAGAAATTAAAATCACATTTTCTAAACACTTAAAAAAGTTACACTTAACTCTAAGGTCATTCATATGTTTATCAAATTAATCTGTCCTGGTAACTGAATAAAATACAGTGTGAAGTTATCATAGGGGTAGCATTTCAAACCAGTTTAGTTAATGTAAGCCTAGTAATTCTGAGAAAAGAGAAAGAAAAAAATCCAAGTTTGTAATTTTAAATTCTTGAATAGAAAGCATTCTTATAAGCATTTGATAAATTTTGTTGATGAGACTCTTGATTTATTATCACTACTCACCTGCCTTTATTGTAAACTTTATGCCAGAATTACTAAATTTCTGGTCTCACAGTATTTTCACTATCAGTGTGGATGAAGAAAGAGGTGGGAGCCTAAAGAATAAAGACATAGATGGGAAGGGTCTAGCTTAAATCAAAACAAAATTTGCATTCACTATTTCTTTTGTTAGTTTTGTACTCCCAACATTCTGACTTTACTTAATAATTTATATCAAGTATAAAGTACAGAAATTAATGTGGATGAGTTCATCTTTCACAGCACTGTGCATTTTTAGAGAATATGCTGTTGTCACTTATTTTATTTCTTCGTTTGTCCTTCCAGAGTTTCTGAATACTTTGCAAACCACAACAATACACTTTCAGTTTTCTAAAGTAATGCTTCTCAACTTTAATGTATAAAGGGATCACCTGGGGATCCTTTTAAAATTCAGATTCTGGGATGAGGTCTTAGCATCTTTATCTCTAACAAGGTCCCAAAATACTAATGCTGGTCATCCTCTGACCACTCCGAGTGGCAAAGGTCCAAAGTACCTTGGATATGAGAGTAATACAGCAAGACAGAATACAGAATCCATTTCTAAGTATCTATAAGCATTGAGCTTCTAGAAATAAGTCAGTGGGAGACTTTGCATTACTGACTGCTACTAAGTATAGTGAGCTTCCCTGAAAGCTCAGTTGATAAAGAAACTGCCTGCAATGCAGGAGATCCCGGTTCAATTCCTGGGTCGGGAAGATCCACTAGAGAAGGGATAGGCTAGTATTCTTGGGCTTTTCTTATGGCTCAGCTGGTAAAGAATCCGCCTGCAATGCAGGAGACCTGGGTTTGATCCCTGGGTTGGGAAGATCCCCTGGAGAAGGGAAAGGCTATCCACTCCAGTATTCTGGCCTGGAGAATTCCATGGACTGTATAGTTGATGGAGTCGCAAAGAGTCAGATAACGACCGAGTGGCTTTCACTCACTTTCACTAAGTATAATACATCTAAATAGAACTGGATTTATTGCTTCTTATAGATGGTGCATTCAGATTTAATGAATTTATTATTTGTAAAAATTTTATTTAGAAGTGATTCCAGTACTATACTTTTGTTTGTTAATGTGTAAATTTTATTATTAAGTTTATAAACTATATTCCCCTAGTGCCTTTGAAGAAAAAATATTATACTTGATATGTACTAAGCTTCAGTTTGTAGCCATTTCTTATCTATAACTTTTAGTCATTGAAATCCATTGTATATACTGTTTTATGCTTATAAAAACATAAAACCACAGAATATATACAAATTTATGAGTATCTTTATTGTAATGTTTATTCTTGTGCAATTAGATACTGGCAATGTAAAGAGGTTAATGCCTTTTTTTAAAAAAATTTATCTTTTAAATAGCTCAGTCACTAAAAGAATTCGCAAGACTACTTATCGCAGTAGAAGAAGAAAGGAGAAGACTGGTAAGTCTCTTCCCCATTTCTTAAGAATAAAGCTTTGTTTGGACATACTGAAAAGAAGAATAGACCTTCTGAATTACACTCAACCATAACTCATTTTATAATATGATACATGTACTGAATGTTACAGCAAAGATTTGTGAGTATGATGATCAAATATTGCTAATAAGATAATGCCATTTCTTTGTGTTTTATTTGGCCAGCAGATATAAATTTCATTCATTTTACTTTCCATTTAATTGTTCTGAAAATTAAAAGTATTGAACAAACTGCCATTTAGAAACCCATTCTAACTGAGCAGTCTGCTAAATAACCTTAGTGTTGTATTAAAGACACATTACAAGGATTAAAGATAGTTCTCAGAAGGAGCAACTAACTTTGCCAGGGTGTTATCAGGAGACTTTCTGAAGAGGTGACGTTTGAATTGGGTCTTGAAAGCTCAGAAGATTGTGCTTGACTGGGAAGAATGGGAAAACTTTATACTTTGACAGATTAACTAATGAACAGTATCAGAGCATAGTTATTTGTAATATACCTATCACTAATATAAATGTATTAAGAATACAAATCACAGATATAATTTTGTACCCATTGTGTTCAAAGTTCTGGTAGGCCCCTGTCTATGAACCAGGCTTCCCATTTGTGTATGGGAAAAATAGTAATATATACCCCACAGGATCACTGTAAAGCTTTGTCGAAGCACCTGGCACATAATGAATAAATGTTGTTGGTGATAAAGATGTTGGTTGTCAGTTACAGTGAGGGTTACAGACTTATTTAAAACATCATATTCAATATTGCTGGCCTCACCACCTTGTTGAGAGTCACATACATAAAATGGTCAGGTTGTGAATTAAATGTGCTGGGAAGCAGCACCGTTTGCTGTCATTTCTCCCACGGATGAGGAAGTGCAGTTTGAGAAGGGCGTCCTTAAGGTAGCCCTGACTTCTGGAGAGCGTTGTCTGAGTTGAGGGAGATCATACAACAGGGCGTGGTTTATGTGAGTGACCCTGAGCAGGGGCCACAGGGTGAGAAAGTGCTGTGTACATTTGTAGAATAAGGCAGAAGCTTTTTAGAAGGCATTAGTAGAAGAGTGGTTGGTAGTTTGCAGCATATGTAGGGTTTAAGAGCTGGGCTAAGAAGTTCTGTTGTTTGTTACCAGTTCAGTCACTCAGTCATGTCCGACTCGTTGCGACCCCATGGACTGCAGCACGTCAGGCTTCCCTGTCCATCACCAGCTCCCAGAGCCTGCTCAAACTCATGTCCACTGAGTCGGTGATGCCATCCAACCTTCTCATCCTCTGTCATTCTCTTCTCCTCCTGCCTTAAATCTTTCCCAGCATCAAGGTCTTTTCCAGTGAGTCAGTTCTTGCCATCATGTGTCCAAAGTACTGGAACTTTAGCTTCAGCCTCAGTCCTTCCAATGAATATTCAGGATTGATTTCCTTTAGGAGTCACTGGTTGGATCTCCTTGCAGTCCAAGGAACTCTCAAGAGTCTTCTCCAACACCACAGTTCAAAAGCATCAGTTCTTTGGTGCTCAGGTTTCTTTCTGGTCTAGCTCCCATATCCATACATGACTACTGGAAAAACCATAGCTTTGACTAGACAGACCTTTGTTGACAAAGTGATGTCTCTGCTTTCTAATATGCTGTCTAGATTAGTCATAGCTTTTCTTCCAAGGAATAAGCGTTTTTTAATTTCATGTCTGCAGTCACCATCCGCAGTGATTTCAGAGCCCAAGAAAAGAAAAACTGTCACTGTTTCCACTTTTTCTCCATCTATTTGCCATGAGATGATGGGACCAGATGCCATGATCTTAGTTTTCTGAATGTTAAGTTTTAAGCCAGCTTTTTCACTCTCCTCTTTCACTCTCATCAAGAGGCTCTTTAGTTCTTTACTTTCTGCCATAAGGGTGGTATCATCTGCATATTTGAGGTTATTGATATTTCTCCTGGCAATCTTGATTCCAACTTATGCTTCATCCAGCCAAGCTTCAACAGTCTTGTTGGATTCTAGCTTTTGCTTCATCCATCAATGTGGTAGGAGGGACGAAATCACATTTAGAATCAAACCCCATACCGACCAGAGATGCTTGGAGGGCTCAAACAAAACCTTGTGTACACCAGCACCCAGAAACCCCACAGAGACTGAGCCAGCCCTGCCTTTGAGTGTTTGAGTTGTTTGTTTATAGTCTGTGGGAAAATTGCCAGAGGTTTTGATAGAACAAAAGGATCAATGTGGGATTTAGAAGAGATTAATTTAGTGGCTTTGTGGGGGAGATACTATCGAGGAAGGAATGTTGTGGAGGAGGGCTGACCATCTTTTCTCAGGAAACATCAGCCTACCTTAGGTCTAGTCCCATTAGAGAGACAGCCATGCAGTATAATCTAGGTAGAGATCAGTTATTATGGGAGACTGATCCTCTCTGACACAGTCTGTGGAGGTGACTTGACTTTCAAGTGCTTTAAGTATAATCTTCACTCTAATTTCATGAGCTCCACAATAGAAGTTCAAGTACCATGGAGAGATGTGGGTAGTATGTGCACTTGTGGCTCAGATCATAAGCTGATGATAGAAGTGGGAAAGAATGGTTAAGGAGAGGTGAAAAAAAAAGTTGGAAATTACATAGGAGACAGGAAAATATAGTTGGCCCTTGGACAGCATGGGATGGAACTGCATGGGTCCAGGTATGTGCAGATTTTTTTCAATATTAAATGCTGCAGTTCTATATGATTCACTGTCAGCTGAATTCATGGATGTGGACGGCCAACTATCAGTTACATGTGGATATTCCACAGTGCCCCTAACTCCTGTGTTAGTTGGGGTTCTGCGTTGAGAAAGTCAAATCTTGTGCAAATAGTTGAGGAAAGTTATAAGTTTGATCCTGGGTGGTCTCAGCCTGCAGCAGCTTGAAGCAGGGCTTTGGTTACCAGTGGAGATTGAGGTTGGGTCACAGATGTGAGAGCTGAATCCTCACCACTAGACCACCAGGCACCAGTGACAAGGCCCTGGCCTGTCAGCTCTGTAGAAAGGAATTTCCACACAGATATGGAAAGTAGTGAGCAAAGTGTTTATTAGAAAAAGAGTATGTATGGTTAGATACACTGGTGGACTCAGAGAGAGGGCCACGCCCTCGTGGTAGTTGGGATCACTTTGATGGGGCGTTTCTTCCGGGTCTCTGTTCTGCTTGGTCCTGAGTCTGCATTTAGTATACATCAAATCTTCCCATGTGCGCTCGTGTCTCTCAGCCAGGATGGAGTCTTGCGAGGCAGCGTAAGGCTAGGTCAACATCACTTACTATGAGGCGATGCCCCCTCTCTTTGACCTCCAAGGAGCCTTTCTGTGCGTACGTGGTCAGTAAAGTCTTCTTGACTTCGAGAATGAAGAATATGTGGTCTTTATCTCTTATCTAGGCAGGGCTCAGCTCCTCTTGAGCTCCTGCTTATTTGGAGTGTCTGTCCACAGGGGACAGACTCCAGCTTCTTAGCTTGGAGGCCCATCTGTCTCCTGCCTCAAGTCAACTAGCATGGGCTATAATTTTAGAAAATGTATAAAGAATATGTGAAAGTGTGTTGTGGCTTGCAAGAGGAAAATAAGCCAAGAGAATGTCTTATCGCACTGAGGGGAGGCCTGGCAAGACCAGGGGAGAAGCTCTCCTGTGCTGGGACAAAAAGGAGGATTGACTAAAACATAGAACTGTGCACAGGAAGTTGGTTGGTTGGACAGATGGGTAATACTGTTAGGAAGAAATGGTCATCTGCTGAGAGAGGAGTTAGGAGAAATAGTTTAGAACAGCCAGGAGCAGTTTCTACAAGAGGAAAGGGACTCCTGCCTAGGGATAAAGAAATGTTGAAGCTAGACATTGTGAATATGTCCAGGAAAGATTAATGATCATGTTTTCACATATGTTTCTAACAATATCCAGAGCCCTGGGTTGTGAGTGGTAAGAATAGTTGGGAAGTCAGGGATTCAGGGGGTGGTTGGCACAGAAGACGTGGTTTTGGATTACAGGGCTGTGGGTTTGTGTATATAATGATATGAGTACAGCGATGATTGAGGCAGGAGGGTACTGACAGCCTTAGGAAGCAGAGAGGGCAAGCATGATGGCTTAATTGTATTGAAGGCTACACTAGGATCACAGGAGAGACGAGGAAGCTGTGATCAAGAGGGGGAGTTGAAACAGTGAACTTGGCCATGGCGCTGGTTTGCATAGTGATAAAGTTAAGGTGTAGCTGAGTAAAGAGAAAGTCCTTAGAAATTAAGAAGGCTGAGCTCTGGCATTTGGATGTTTTATGAGCAGCATGTTGAGATTTAATATGATGACAGAATGAAGGGAAAAAACCAAGAAACAGTGGCTGAAGAATATGGTAGTGTATTTCATAAGCAGTGGAGATGGAGATTGTCCTGTAGCTCATAGTGTTTCAAGGATCTTTATTCCTGCCCTCATCTGTGTCTCTCACATTGGGGCAAGAAGGGAATTCTGTATTCATGAGTAAAGTCCCATTGTTGGTTTTGATTGCCTTACTTGTTGTTTCCGAGAAGGTCTGAGATAAAAAAAGGCAAAATAATGAAGAAAAGTCTCTATAGATGAAAACCTAATAAATTGTATTTGTACAAAGATTCTATAAAAGTAAGCCTTTAAATACACAAATCTAAATATTGGATTATTTACTCAACACTTCCAAACACTTGGTGTAACTGTAACTGGAGATAGAGCTGGTAGCAGATTTTGCACAAAGAATTTGTATTTTAAAAAGTAGAGCTTCATTTAGGAAGTAGAATATTTTAAGTGAACTATGAAAGTGTAAAGCAGTTCTGTGATTGATTATAAATTCAATTAATCATTCTTTTTTTGGTGATAAATCATCACTTGTTGTATATTAAATTGAATTTAACCAAAACCTACGCATGTCTTAACAGTGACTAAACAAAAATAAAATCTGAAGAAGATGAAAAGGACATTTAACAGCTTAAACAAATTCTGTTGCTTCTGGTGACTTA